GCAAGATCAAGACCCATGGAAAATGGAAATCAGAAGATGACGAAGAACCTAGTATAGGTTTCGCACAAATGTACAAACTATTTCATAAGCCTTCAATCACCTTCTGACAATATTCTATGTTTGGATGAGGATGAACTTCAAAGCCTATTTTACTTGGCGGGTAGAACTATACATCAAGTTTTAAAAATGCGTAAGATACGTACAACAAAATACCTAGGACAAAGGACAATGACTCTTCACTTTTCTATGTTCAATGTCTGTTAAATAGTGGTCCGCGAGACGAGACTAGACGAGACTTAGGGTTGGTCTCGTCTCGTCTCGACATCTAGAGACGAGACCGTGTTTTAGTCTCGGTCTCGAGTACCAAAGTCTCGTCTCATCTCGAGTGGTCTCGTCTGGTCTCGAGTTATACAGGGTGTCCCAAAAATAGCGTAAAAACTCTTCTCTACGTGGTGGAGGACCCTACAAGGAACCCCAGAAAAATACTTTAAAAAATCTAGTGGCATTCTTAAGAAAGTTATTTGCATTTTATTATTTATTAAAATTGGCAACACTGAAAATATCCCGTTGACAATATGTCAGAGAATTAAATTAAATACCCATGTAACTACCTGAAGAATTCGAAGGTGAATTTTCACATTTAGCTCTTCATATTTCCAAGAATAATACCGGAGAAGGATGAAGGAGAGGTGTAATCTTGAGACTCGAGACTACACGAGACTCTCGCCGAGTTTGGTCTCGTCTTATCGAGACTTCACGAGACGAGACCAAAAGCCGAAAAGTCGAGACGAGACGAGACGAGACCAGTCTCGTGTCTCGCGGCATCACTACTGTTAAACGAATAGTCCCACAAACCTGGTATAATAAAATTATTCCAGTAGGTATTTAACTAATTTTTTTAACCATTGCCTCGTTTTTTTTTTTCAAGAAATTAAGACTGTCTGTGTTCTATGGCGTTTGAAAGAAAAGCCCCACAGACCCTGGTATAATTTTCCTATTATTTAACTAATTCAACCATTGACCCGTTCTATTTTAGAAATTGCCTTGTTTTGTTCCATGCAGTTTGAAAAAAAAGCTCTGCGAATCCTGGTATTATGTTTTCAATATTTAACTAATTCAATCATTGACTCGTTTTATTTCAGAAATTGTCCATGTTCTATATGCCGTTTGAAACGAAGGCCGCACGAACCCTCTTATTATTTTTCCAATATTCAGCTAATTCAATCATTAACTCGTTCTATTTCAGAAATTGCCTCCCTTTTTTCGGTAATTAAGATTGTCCATATTCTATGGCCGTTTGTTAGAAAAACCCTCGGAAAACTCCACACACCCTGGTTTAATTTTTCCATTATTAAACTAAATCAACCATTGACCCGTTTTATTTCAGAAATTGCCTCGTTTTTTTTCTAGATATTAAGATTGTCCATGTTCTATGCCTTTTGAAAAGAAAGCCCCACGAACCCTCTTATAATTTTTCCAATATTCAACTAATTCAATCATTAACTCGTTTTATTTCAGAAATTGCCTCCCTTTTTTCGGTAATTAAGATTGTCCATGTTCTATGGCCGTTTGAAAGAAAAACCCTCGGAAAACTCCACACACCCTGGTTTAATTTTTCCATTATTTAACTAATTCAACCATTGAGCCGTTTTATTTTAGAAATTGCCTCGTTTTTTTTTTAGAAATTAGGATTGTCTATGTTCTATGGCGCTGTTTGAAAGAAAAGCCCCACAAACCCTCGTATAATTTTTCTAATATTCACCTGATTCAATCATTGACTCGTTTTATTTTAGAAATTGCCTCGTTTTTTTTTTAGAGATTAATAGTCGGGGAGCTGGCGTCAAAAACATGCAAGAGTTTTCGCAAGGCGGATATTTTCAAAATAGGTCGTACTTTAGTGTTAGAATGCTAGTGTACAGTCAGCACTCACAGTTCCGGGACAGCTGGCTCTGGGACGCGGGCAAAGTTGTAATTTTAAGAAGCATCTAAACTGTTTTCTCAAAGCTCAAAATTTATAGAAATTTTGCACATTATCTGTTTGAAGGTCACAGATAACGTATGTAAATCGTCAGACGTCTAGTTCGTTGCAAAAAGGGGGTCAGACGGCCTCAAAGTTTTTATTTTATGGCATTTTCTTCGGTGTCCTGTCAAAATATATTTTTGCAGGTATTTGACAAATATATTTGAAGAAAATGCCATAAAATAAAAACTTTGAGGACGTCTGACCCCCTTTTTGCAACGAACTAGACGTCTGATGATTTACATACGTTATCTGTGACCTTCAAACAGATAATGTGCAAAATTTCTATAAGTTTTGAGCTTTGAGAAAACAGTTTAGATGCTTCTTAAAATTACAACTTTGCCCGCGTCCCAGAGCCAGCTGTCCCGGAACTGTGAGTGCTGACTGTACACTAGCATTCTAACACTAAAGTATGACCTATTTTGAAAATATCCGCCTTGCGAAAACTCTTGCATGTTTTTGGCGCCACCTCCTGGACTATAAGATTCTCCATGTTCTATGCCGTTTGAAAGAAAAGCCCCACCACAAACCCTCGTATAATTTTTTAATATTCAACTAATTCAACCATTGACTCGTTCTATTTCAGAAAGTGCCTCGTTCAGTTCCATGCAGATTGAAAGAAAAGCTCCGCGAATCCTGGTGTAATTTTTCTAATCTAATTTAATTCGTTTTATTTCAGAAATTGCCTCGTTTCATTAGAAATTAAGAATGTTTGTGTTCCATGCCGTTCAAAAAAGCGCCGCCAATCCTGGTTTAATCATCTATTTTACCATTTTACTTATAAAAAAGATTCGTGGTGTCCCGGTTTCAAAATGGAAATTTAATTATTTTTTTAATTGCTGAGTAGACAAACGCCAATCACCATTTATGAAACAAAATTTTCCGTTCATGAAAGTTTCGTGCTACCCGGGACTGATTCCCTTCACGATTTTTTTTGATGTGTTTGCAACTTCTTAGCAAATACCCCACTGCCACCTAGCCAGCTTACACCCCAAACGTATCTGCACAATGTATGGTGGGTACAATCGAATAAAAATATGAAGAAACTACCCGAAATTGTTGCAATTTTTGTACACGGGCTTCAGTACTATAGGATTTTCACGCTATATAAATATCATCCTAAAGGATGACGTCACATTTAGTAAATTTCTGCTGCTAACCTAACAAAACTAAAAGTACTTTATAACGCATTTGAAGTTGGGAACTTTCAGATGATTTTGGTTGGCAACGGCGCGCGACGTTGCATGACTGGACATTTTTATTTCGTTGTTTTTAGCTGTCATCAGAATTATTGACACATGACATTCTGGTAAATTATAAGAAAAAAAATAGACATTGACATTATTGTCTGTCCTTGTCCGATGACGTCATCCTAAATATAACATAAAAAACATATAATAGGACATTGTACATGAAATATGTCTAAAATGTTTGCGCAGAATCCAAAAATGTCATAATACACAGGGGGCACTTCTTAAAAAAATGAAGTTGATAACGGTACGCATCTAAGCATTCCGTATATGTATTTGGCACCCAGGCATATCCTATTGGTACGTCGCACCATGCGATCAAATTTGAACCAATAAACGGTGAGGTGCCAAACGCATATACGGAATGTAATTTGGTGCGAAATTCGTATGCGGAATGTTAGGCGGTAGATACCTATGCATTGCTTTATGGTTTCGCGGGAATTTCAATAACACGTGCTAAAGAATGTCCCTAAAGCTACGAGAGCAAGGTCAGCAGAACACAAATGCGATTATACCATAATTGAATGTTGAATAAATGTTAATTAAATACACTAATTGAAAATTTAATATTTCTTTTTTTCCTAATAAACGACATGTTCAGCCAGCTTTAGATAAAGTAAACAGAATATTACTTGAAAAATGCACAAATCATCATAATATTATGAACATTTTAATGTAGATATTGTCATGAAGCCTCTCTTGCTCCGCTACGTAGCTCGACTATTCACCCTGAAAATCAGAACGGGAAGGGAAAGGGAACACCAGAATAACGCTAGATAGATGTATTATCTTATTTAATGTTCTAGGGCAGAGATTACGTTAAGAATAAAATACACAATTATTACCATATTGTTTTCATCCCGAGCCAGCACGTCCCTTCGAGCTGAAAAGGGTCTAAAGGCACCTGAGCGAATCCGTCGGGTATAAACCCAAGCTTGATCTTTGTGGTCAGCAGCTGCTAAGAAAACCAAACCAACACCGACAATAGAAGCTAGGGAGCCTGTACTGTAGCGCAGAGTCTGGGTCATCGGTTGAAATCTGCTCGAACAGAGATACGATGCGCAATCCCTATTCGGCCAGATAGCTCCCAACTTTGAGACGTATCTAAGACGCCTACTGATACAGAGAAGCGCAGAGATACGGCTCACAGAGTCTGGGTCGTCAGTTGAAATCTGCTCGAACAGAGATACGATGCGCCATCCCTATTCGGCCAGATAGCTTCCGACTTATGAGACGTGTCTAAACACCTATTGATACAGAAAAGCGCTGAGACACGACTAATTTGCCATAGTGTGGCCCGGGCTTTTATATCTGTCAAGATGGCGGGCGAATCGGACGCTGATTCCGAAGCTAGCTGCAAAGATGCTTATATAGTGGGTTTTAAGTGCTGTGTACAAAAAAGTTGTAAGGTGTGTGTGTGTGCATCAATTGTTATGCAATCTACCACAATAGTTGTATAAATCGATTGGGCAAAATTAAAAGAAAAATTGATGAAATAAAAATTGAATGTTGTTCACATGTGGCGGAAAACAGTGACGTGCAAATTGACGATCAAGCAAATCAAGTGTTTGTTTTGGAAAAACAAAAGATGGAAATGGAAATCGAGTACCTGAAGAAAATGCTGGAGGAACTAGCAAACAAAAGCAACATCCTCAAACAAAACAATGGTCGTTTAGTGGAAAAATTCCTCAATCAAAATATAATTTTGGAACATAGCAAAAATGTTAACAATGAAGGTCAGTCCAAAGGTCATCAAGCGGATTTGTCTGCAAACGATAACAGAAAACAAACAAGTTCGAAGTCACGGAAGCAGCCCATTACCTACTCCGAATCGCTACAGAGACCTGCACCAGTACCCGTCCGTACTACCGGCGCGGTACCACGAACTTATCAAATCAACTCGGAAAGCAATAGGCATGAACCGGAACACTCCCACTCCCAGTATATGCGCCAAAGTAGCCAAATGTCATCAGCAGCTGCTGGCCGTGACAGCCGCAGACGATATAACAACAATACATTTGGGAATGGTCAACACAATGATGCCCATTCTACTACGAATTTGGAAAACTGGAGGTTTGATGATAAATCGGATGATGGCTTCATTATGCCCAGACATAGAAAATTCAAGAAAAGGCTCGGTAATGCTCAACCTCCTGCCGATGGCGTTTTTGCAGGGGGAGATCGCAAAGTGAGGCTTTACATTTATAGATGCCGGTTCAAGTCAAGGAGTTGCCTTCAGCCCCCAATAACCTAAAGTGTTTTGTAGTAACAGCACCTTTGGATAAAAAGGCTGAATTATATAACCCCAGATTTGTAGGAGTGAAGCGTTTTAAGTTTTCAAAACATTCAACATTTCTGGACCCCAGATTTGTAGGAGTGAAGCGTTTTAAGTTTTCAAAACATTCAACATTTCTGGACTCTGGTGATTTTTTAGCAACAACCTGACAGAAGTGAATTCTCAGCAAGCATATAATAAGCAAGATAATAACAGTATAAATGACTCAAATAATACATTTACAGTTTTGCATTTAAATGCTCAATGCTTAGGAAATAAGGTAATTGAAATTGATTCTTTACAGTTTGCTCTCGACATAGTCTGTTTTAGTGAGCACTGGTTGTGCCAGGATGAAATTCTGGTACTTAAATTACAGGGCTACAGTTGCCTCTCTTATTTTTGTAGAAGTTCTCACATACACGGTGGAGTGGCAATTTCTCGCTTCGTCTGAAATGCACTGTGAGATGTGTGCTGTCCAATCAGATGAACTTCAATTAATAATAATTACTTTTTATAGACCCCCCTCAGGAAATTTTGATGAGTTCATGACTAAATTTGAAAACTCTTTGCAATCTTCGAGTAGTTCCAAATTTGCAATCATCACCTGTGGAGATTTTAACATAAATTTCTTATCTACTGATCATAAAGCTAGACAATTAACTGATCTAGTTGAGACCTATGGCTTTTCTAGAATGATCTTTTTACCTACTCGCGGGAATGCATGCTTGGATAATATTTTTATAAATTTACCAAATGCAGAAGCACATACATATGATTTTAATATATCGGACCATTTGGCGGTAATAGTCGAGTTTCCATTCATTATTAAACCAAACATCAAAATAAATAATAAATATCAACCCTATACAAGAACTGGATTATCTAAATTTTTTAACATGGTGAGCAATATAAATTGGGACTTCATAAATTGTGAAAATATTTCAACAGAGGAAAAAGCAAAACTGGTTGTACTCTTGCTTCAAAATAATATAAACGCGGCGTTTCCTGTTGTTGAAATGAAAAATAAAAAACCTGTATTGAACCTAACCTGGTTTAATGATGAATTGAGAGAAAAAAGGGATCTTCCGAATTTTGTCACAGATGCTGCTGACCAGCAAAAATGTCCTATCCTCCTGGATTTAAAAAGTAAACTCAGACAATCATACCGCGACGATCTAAAAAGTGCCAAATCTAGAGCATACCACACTTATCTTACAAATAATAACTTTAATCCTAAAGCCATATGGAATGTAGTAACTGCAAATACAAATGTATTAAAGAACAAACATAAACCTTTGAACGATATCTCACCTAATGAATTTAATAATTTTTTTTCTACAATAGCATTTGAAATCATAAAGGAGTTGCCTCCCTCCCAATTACCATCTGAAAACTACACTAATCAATTTACCGCTCAACTAATCTTTCCATGGCATGAATTCACATTTACTGAGATAACAATTATTGAATTGCGTGACATAATCAAATCCTTTAAAAATAAAAATAGCAGAGACTACTATGGAATAAACACAACTGATTAAACACATTGTAAATATCATTGTTTATTCTTTAGTGAAAATTTTAAATTTGTGTTTACGAGATTCAGTTTTTCCTAGTACACTCAAAATCTCTAGAGTGGTACCTATTTATAAAAAGGGCCCAAAGAAGGACTTAACAAATTACAGGCCAATATCAATTGTTCCTTTCTTCTCCAAAATATTTGAGAAAGCTTTAAAATCTAGAATAACCAACTATTTTGAAAAACATAATCTTTTTAGTAATAAAGAGTTTGGGTTCAGAAATGCAAAATCAACAACAATGGCTATTAACCAATTTATTGAGTTAGTAAATGAGAGTCTTAAACGGGGAGAATACGCTGCAGCCACATTCTGTGATTTGAGCAAGGCGTTCGATTGTGTGTCCTTCGCCACTCTTGCAATGAAACTAAAGCTTTATAATTTTTCACTTTCAAGTATTGAATTGATAGAGTCTTATCTTGTGGGGAGATCTCAAGTGGTTGATATTGATGGCCTGCAATCTGGATTCTGTGAATTACAATATGATGTCCCTCAAGGATCAGTGTTGGGACCGCTGCTCTTCCTGGTCTATATTAACGACCTGGAGTGCAGCGACCCTAGTGCTGATTTCATAATTTTTGCTGATGATACAACCGTTGTTAAGAGAGACTTAGCTTTGGATGACTTGCGGGTGGGGGTGATGGAAACACAGTCGAACGTTTCAGATTGGTTCACGGCTAATCAGTTAAGTATGAACGCATCAAAAAATCAAAAACTTTACATCTGTACCCGAAATATAGATTTGCAATGTCCAAATGAACCAGTAATGTTTTTAGGGGTGAAACTGGATTCAAAGCTTTTGTGGGGTGCCTACATCGAATATATATGCCCAAAAATTTCTTCTGGAGTTTATGCACTTCGAAGTTTAACTAAAAATGTTTCTCCAATGGTTGCTAGATCAGTATATTTTGCGTGTGTCCCACTGATCTAAAAAATAAATGGATTAAGAATTCATACGGCTTGATTGGCAAAATTTGTGCGAAAATTTGGGGTCAATATTCTACGAACAGTTGTGCAACGGAACAGCCTAACGCCTGCGCAGTGTCTTATCTTTCGAACAACTGTTCTAAATTTTGAAATTCCTTCATTTTCATTGGCCAGATTTTGTGCACACACAATACATGTATTTACTGCGCACGCTCACAGCTGTCCAAGTCAGTTGTTTTTGTGTAGATTTTGACCTCGTAAATTAGCAGCATTAGAAGCGTTCTTTGTTTATCCATTTATTTTTGAGATCAGTGGTGTGTCCATTCTAGGATATCTTATGGTATCCTAATCTGGGGTCATGCCTCTGATGCGAGCCGTGTTTTTTCCCTCCAGAGAAGGGCAATAAGAATCCTACAGGATTTGCACTACAGAGTTGATTGTAGAATGTATTTTTCCAGACTAAATATCTTAACAGTTTCTTGCCTATATATTTTGAGCTGCTTATTGCATGTAAAAGCAAATCTTGGAGATTATGAGAGGTTTGAAAATGTTCACTCCCATTTAACTAGGAATAATACCAAAATTTATACTGATTTTCATCGAATAAATCGTATGAAAACAGGGGTGCCTTTCTATGGACCGCTGTTTTATAACAAATTGCCCCTCCACACAAGGTCCTTATACCAATTCAAGGCTTCAAAACAAAAATCAAAGAGTACCTTATTTCCAAAAGTTTTTATAGTATACAGTGTGATATCACTTAATTACTATTTACCTAAAATCTCTTTTTTTTTACTTGTGTGAAACTTTTGTCATGGCATCAATAAATATTTTATATTTGTATTTGTATTTGTATTTGTATTTGTATATCCAATATTTGCTGACTATAATTAGGTTAATTATTCTGGTTGTGTTTTCTTGATTAGTTGCAGTTATTTGTTTTAACCCGTGGTTCAGTGTATTGTACATTAAAATGTTCGTTTAATTAAACGCTTAAATGTACTGAATAGAAATTTTTCGTTCCTTTTTTTTTACATTTTTTCATCGAATTTACACTTTTTCTGTTAGTTGGTAGTGTCTGATCAAACAGAACAAGGGTAAATTTACAATAAAACATTTCAATGTAGATATCATGATGATTTGTGCATTTGTCAAGTCATGTTCTGCTAACTTTTCTAAAGCTCGCGGAACATATGTGCGTTTTTTTTTTTAAAAAAAAAGGTTCGTAAAATTTTTAATCAGTGCATTTAATAAGCATTTGATAATTGTAAAATTGCATAAAAATCATAATGGAACTGATTTGTCAACCTTAAAAGTTTTGCATGAACGATTATCCCATATTAAAATTAAAACAACTTGAGAAAGTTTTGATACCATAGGAAGCTCTTCAACTTTAAGCAGTTGACGACAGGTGGGAATTATGAGCGGCTCGCCATTTCGAAGACCATTCAAAGACAAGCCTTCCAAAGAGAGAATATAAAAGCGTCACCATCTTTCAGCCAATGTAGCTTTAAACCAACCAAATGCAACAAAACATGTAGAAGGACATTAGTGCACTAATTATTTCAAATTAATTTCCCTTTTGGTCTATTTCCTTTTTCGAAATAGATTTTTGGCTACCTCTTAATATGTTTTTGTTTTTCCAATTTATAATACTCAAAATCATCAGTCTTATGAATGTGCAACATTCCGTATACGAATTTGGCACTACATCACATTTCGTATATGTGTTTGGTACCTTGCTGTTTAATGGTTGAAAAACGACAGCATGGTGCACCGAACCAATAGAAAAGACCTAGCTGCCAAATTCATATACGGAATGCTTAGATGCTAACGCTACAGCTGTTCTTAAAACACCCTGTATGAAAAAATTGGTGAGAAAAAATCTTGAGCAAAAAAAAAAAAAATCGGTGGGTCCGCGCGTTTTTTCGAAAAGGCCTTCATTTATTTATTACCGAATTTATTCCATTTGGCTAATACACAATAATATCTTGGGTCCTGAAAAAAATCATATATAAGGTACCTGACCCAAATAAGGCCATGTACCTACCTAATATGGCCAGTGCCTATTATTGCTCAATATTGAATCCCATTTCCAAAAATTACAATATTATTAAAAAATAAATCTATAATGCAAATCAATTATTCAAATTATTGCAAGAGTTCCTAGCAACTCGTCATATTGTCGAAAAATGGTTAACCACATATTTCATATGTCACGTTATAACTTTAGGCTTTAGGAACTCAATTAGCTTATACAGGGTGTTTGGTGCATCGTTTGCCAAATTTAACTGCCTGAAAGAAGGGGCCATTTGCTAAATCTTTAGCCATAATAACTCATCCTTGACCCCTACGGTTTTTTTCAATTTGGTTTTTTTATTTTTTTTCAAATCTCAAAATTCGCCATTTAAACTTAAATTTAAAAAAAAGTTGTTGGCCTAGCCTCCAAATTTTATTTTTATTTTTATGTGTAGGTACTGTGGTATGGTTCCACCAAATACAAAATTACTTGCCATTAACGTCTAGTATTTTCATTATTAACTGATAAAAATTTTTGAAACAGGTAAAAATAAATTGAAAAGTGAAATTTTTATTGCAACAAAAAAAAAAACTAAAGTCGATCGTGATCTTCAAATTCTCTTAAAAAGTTCTCTATTTTATACCCTTTCCAGTGATATGTAATATGCCATAAAAACATTTTAACATCTTCACTAATTTGCTAAATTTGTGTATCGGAACACAGCAGGCTAATATTCGATATTTGGTATGAAAACGTAAATAAGTCCTTAAAATGGCAAGTAATTTTGTATTTGGTGGAACCATACCACAGTACATATAAAAATAAAAATAAAATTTGGAGGCTAGGCCAACAACTTTTTTTTTAATTTAAGTTTAACTGGCGAATTTTGAGATTCAAAAAAATTTTTAAAAATCAAATTAAGAAAAAAACCCATGGAGTCAAGGATGAGCTTTTATGGCTGAAGAGTTAGCAAATGGCCCCTCGTTCGAGCAGTTAAATTTGGCAAACGATGCACCAAATACCCTGTATACATGTTTATACAGGGTGCTAAAAATTGGAGTGTATGCATGGGGATATCGGAAACCGTAAGAGATACGAGGTTGGTTAAATTATGGCAAAGTTGCGCAATTTTATGACCAATAAAATTCCGTTTTGAAATTTGAACAATTCCGAATACTTCCGTAGATATTCGGAAAAAACCGAAATTATGCATAATCATTTTTATGTTTTCCTGAGTCTATTTGAAGAGCAATTTCAAAATAAATGTCACTTCATCATTGTCACTTTTTTCCCTTTACAAGATGTTGCTACCAAATTTCAGATTCGACGTTTCTTCTTTGGGCGGCCATCATCAACTTAATTTTTTTAAATACGGACCTTTATTTTTTACTTCAGATTTTATAATCTTCTGACGTCTCAAAACCAATAACGTATTGCACTTATTCGAAAAATTTATATTATTGGCTCTTTCCATAAGAACTTAATGTGTTAGAGAGAGACAGAGAAGATAATTTTGGTAGGAAATTGCTAAAAAGTAATAAAAATTATTTTTCGAATAAATGCGATACGTCATAGGTTTTGGGACATCAGAAGCTCTAAAAATCTGAAATAAAAAATCCAGGGTCGTATTTAAAAAAATAAAGTTGATGATGGCCGCCCAAAGACGAAACGTCGAATCTGAAATTTGGTAGCAACACCTTGTAAAGGGAACAAAGTGACAATGATGAAGTGACATTTATTTTGAAATTGCTCTTCAAATAGACTCAGGAAAAAATAAAAATGATTTTGCAAGATTTCGGTTTTTTCCAAATATCTTCGGAAGTATTCGGAATTTTTCAAATTTCAAAACGGAATTTTATTGGTCATAAAATTGCGCAACTTTGCCATAATTTAACCAACCTCGTATCTCTCATAGTTTCCGATATCCCCATGCATGCACTCCAATTTGTAGCACCCTGTATAGTGAATGGAGCGATTGTAATTTTTTAACGGATATTTATGTATTGTGAAAGCTACAGAGTATGTACAGAATAATATCTTTTCTAGATTTCTAGTTACAGACTGTTTTTATCAATTTAAAATTTTAAGGCCATCATACGAAAAATGTTCAATTGGCCTCACATCACAGTATTTTTTTGAAATAATATGTCATATTATCACCTAAGTGATGTTTTTTGAAATGCCTGGAGTCTAACCAAGCAAGAGATGCTGCGGCTCATGTGTCCTAGTTGTATGTAAGGTCCGTTTCACCAGGATTCATACTTGACCTTGAAACTTGAAAAAAAAAGGGTTGTCGTAGATTGATTCATATGACACATGCAATTTTTTTGACAAATTAAAATGAATGACTTTTGGTTAAGAACCGACAAACGTTTTTGACGTCATTGATTTATTTCAGTCAATTTTTATTTGTTAAACAAGGAAGGTAAATGCTGGTGGCAAGTACAAACCCTGGCGAAACAAACTTTAGATCTATTTGGATCACCATCCCATTACTTGGAATTATTGTTTTTTTTAGGAATGCAGCAAACGTATAAGATCTATTTTATGTATACTTTTCTCAAATAATAATATTTTTATAAATTATTGTATTTGTTTTAATGGTGACCTTATTAGGAGCATAGTGATCCAAATAAGGCCAATGGTAAGCGTCTTTGTTTCACGCAAAAACCACCACTTATATAAAATAATAAATAAATTGGAGATAATATTCAAGTAATAGAAACGACACACTTCACATAATAAGCTCCTAATTTTTGTTAGGCTTGGTGGATAATGTTAGGAAAAAATAAAATTTCTTAACGTGGGACAGATACCTTATACTTCGTTACCGGGTGTCCGGTGGGATAAAAAAATATCCGTTTCTGGTTCTATGTCCAGGGCGGAAACCGGTATCTCCCGAGTCCCGACCCTGTCTTATGGGTGGACTGGGACGATGATTCAATAAAATTGGCTTGGCGCTGATTGCATTAAAAGGACTTTAAAGTGTCTAAATTGCCACCCTGTACATATTTACAGGGTAAGTGAAGTATATACCTACTACATTATAGAATTAACGATAATGCGGTAAAGTGAATTTTACCGCACTTTTTGAAAACAATGTGTGTAACCTAAGTTACATTCTCGGTTGGAGATACATCTTTTTCTATATTCCTTTCCACAGGCAGCAAAATAATCACAAACTACAGTTTAATTTTTGATTAGGAAATAATGAGATATTTTAAATCGATGTACTTGATAATTTGAGGGTATTGAGCGATTTCGAAACCAGGCCTAAATTATAAAGATTGTACTCGAGATTATACTGATATGAAAATATTCAACCCAAAATTCGGGTTTAGATTACAGATCGAGGAGAGGGGTAAAAGACACCGTATCTAGAATCTTACCCTTTTGAATGTTGCAATACTCAATACAGTAAAAATTTGCCTATACGATTTTAAAAAGTCAATCACTATTTCAAAACAATCCCCTTTCATAGATAATCCTTCAATATTGATAAAGATCTCTGTTTTAACGAAACTTGTAAGATGAATACCCGAATAATTAAGTTTATCATAAAAAATAGTGAAATGAAAGGGGTTGAAAATTCCATATAAATATAGCCGCGGATAATTGTAACAGCACAGTCCAAGTGACTTATCTAGCAGCACCATTTAGAGATGAAGTTTTTGAGTTTCATTAGTTTAATTGTGGTAACACTCTGTATCACGGAAGTGGTACCTTCTTCAGCAGGTGAATAGTCAATTAATAAACCCTAAAATTATGTTAATATTACGAATATAAATTTAAGAAAAAAACTCTAAAAAAAATAAATTATTTTGTGGCGATATTTATTCATTTTCCTATAAATCTTACATTGGGTACTGTTTTTATTAAGTTAATTTTTTTTTTTTTTTTAAATGCAGTTATTTACCAAAATAGGTACCTATTGGATGGACATTTATGCTAAAACTACTTTTTTCAGGGCTTAGAAGTGGAAACACTACTCCTACTACTACCAGTACCCCTCCACCACCTAATAGACGTAAGTATACCGCCTTACAGTGGATCCATAAAATCAATCATCTTACATCATAAAATCACAAACATTTATTTAAAAAATTCTTGACTGACTTAAAAGAGAACTAAGCTGAGTATATTTAAATATTTTATATCCTACTGAACTATTAAAACCATATAATACCTTGGTTACGATAATCATAAACAGGGTCTTAACTCCCAAGGGAGTTAAGGCTTTTCATAACTCCCAAGGGAGTTAAGGATTTCCATAACTCCCGCTTTTACCTTGAATAGGTAACACTTTGACAAAAAATAGAAATTTTGATTTATGGCTTATTCCTTTATAAAAATAGACAGAATACAGTAAATTCAGTAGGATATAAAATTATCTATGTACCACGGGAATTATCAGGAGTTAATACCCACGGGCAATTGGTGTCCCTCGGGCCGGAGGCCCTCGGGACACAAACGTTGCCCTGGGGTATTAACACCTGCATAATTCCCTTGATACATAAATAACTATTACTTACTATTTGTTACAATAAAGACTAATTTTATTATAATTTTTCAGCCCCCTGTCCAAAAGACTGTAAAGAGCCCGTTTTTGTCCCAGACGATGACTGTTGTAAGTACTGGCAATGTAATGATGGTGTAGCGAAGTTACGCAGCTGCCCATCTGGATTAAACTGGAATCCCATCAAGAACGTTTGTGATTGGCCCGCAAATGCTGGATGTGACGGGAATGGATGGTGTGACATCACTATTATTTGGTAAGTTTTTTCATTGATATTAAATAGGCATCAAATTTATCAACAATGAATTTATTCACAGCCCAACTACACCTAAGCCAACTACAACACCTAAACCGACCCAGGACCCTAATGCACGTAAGTATCTACTTGCTTGAAAAATGGTATTTTTATGTCCATTTGTTTGTCTTGCTTCATTGATTAAATATTTCCTAGTAAAAAATTTAACATTTAATTTCATATTGCAGCTGAATGTCCATGTGACTGTCCAAATCCCCTCTACGTTCCGGATAGAAACTGTGGCAAATATTGGCAATGCGATGATGGAGTAGCCACCAAACTTAGTTGTCCAAAAGGCCTTCAATTCAATCCTGTTTTGGACGTCTGTGATTGGCCAGAAAAAGCTGGATGTACCGGGGAGGGTTGGTGCGCCGATGATCTCAAATGGTGAGAAAACGATTTATTTGTTTATTGGTTTTATTTGAACGATTTTTCTTAGTCCATCAACAACTTCATCTACCAAAGGTACTACCAAACCGACACCTACGAAAAACCCAAGAGCTCGTAAGTGAAACATTATTTCTATTCCTCCTTACTGGTATACTTACCTGTAGGTTTGTTTTGTTCTATTTCTCATATTGAAGTATTTGCAAAATACAACGTTTCAACAATTTTTTATCATTATATCTTTCCATTATTATATTTTTTCTTGTAGCTCCTTGCCCAAGCAACTGCACTGAACTAGTCCTAATACCAGACAGAATTTGTGTCAAGTATTGGCAATGCGACAATGGGGTAGCTACTGAACTCACTTGTCCAAAAGGCCTGGAGTTCAATCCTGAAAGAAAAGTTTGTGATTGGCCAGAAGACGCTAAATGTACTAAACAAGGATGGTGTGATGAGGATCTTAGATGGTAATGAAAAAAATAATAAAGAAGAGAAAATAAAAATATATAGTATACTATTATCTTCATGTTTAGCCCTTCGCCTACGAAACCAACATCGCCATCAACTACCACCAGAAACCCAAATGCGCGTAAGTTTAACTTTGAATTTCAAGAATGTTATTTCAGCTTACACACTGGTATTTTTTGTATTATAATTATAATAGGCCCCACCGAAAGTCCTCATGTTATATGTAGACTTCCTCTGACATTGCTTTTGTAGAACTAAGTTGTGTTTTGTTTTTACTTCGAAATTAGTAGTCCAGGAGATTTTTATTTAATCTCCAGTTACTTCATGTGTGAATACCTGTGTTCTACAGCTTGATAAGCATTGAATATTATTTTATTGATTATTATCTACCATTTGGATATTCGTTATTAATCCTCTGTTATTTTTGCAGCACCTTGTCCATGCGATTGTACTGAATTAGTCTTAATACCAAGTAAAAACTGTGGCAAGTACTGGCAATGTGATAACGAGGATGCTACTGAGAAAAATTGTCCAAAAGGCCTCGAATTCAATCCAGATAGAAAAGTTTGTGATTGGCCAGCAAATGCCAGTTGTACAGGTCAAGGTTGGTGCGCTGAAGATTTAATATGGTAAGTAGGTTGTGTCTACTAGCTTATATTTTATAATCATTTATATTGTTTTAATAGCCCAATACCTACTAAACCAACAAAGCCACCCGCGCCATCTACTACTACTAAAAATCCAAGAGCACGTAAGTTGGTCTAAAAGTTGAATTGGTTCATGTTTACTGAATATTATATTTCAGCTCCCTGTCCATGCGACTGCCCAGAATTAGTTCTCATTCCAGATAAAATTTGTGGAAAATATTGGCAATGTGATAATGAAGTAGCTACTGAACTTAGTTGTCCAAAAGGCCTAGAATTTAATCCAGTTAGAAAGGTTTGTGATTGGCCAGAAAATGCTAAATGTAGTGGACTAGGGTGGTGCGATGAGGATCTAAAATGGTAAGTATTGCATTGACCAATCTAAGGAAAAGTGATAATTACTTATTTTGTCTTACTTTTCAGTCCTCCAGCTACTAAACCAACCACACCCACTAGCACCACTAAAAACCCAAATGCACGTAAGTTTACCAACGCACTTCCATTCGTTTTTTTCCTTTCATTTTTATGATCGTTCCCAAGCGAATACAATATTTCTGCCTCCCTATATGATATCATCTTCTTACTAGATTCTCTTATCGATATCGATAAAAAGTTTTTTCCTTCATCAATAAATTAACTTTCTATTCTTTATGTAGCTCCATGTCCATGCGATTGTAAAGAACTAGTCCTAATCCCAAGTAAAAACTGTGGAAAGTACTGGCAATGTGACAACGAGGATGCTACTGAGATAAATTGTCCAAAAGGTCTGGAGTTCAATCCGGATAGAAAAGTTTGTGATTGGCCAGCAAATGCCAGTTGTACAGGTCAAGGTTGGTGCGCTGAAGATTTAATATGGTAAGTAGATTGTGTCTACTAATTTATATTCTATATTCATGTTTTAATAGCCCAATACCTACTAAACCAACAAAGCCACCCGCGCCATCTACTACTACTAAAAATCCAAGAGCACGTAAGTTGATCTAAAAGTTGAATTGGTTCATGCTTACTGAATGTTATGTTTCAGCTCCCTGTCCATGCGACTGCACAGAATTAGTTCTCATTCCAGACAAAATCTGTGGCAAATATTGGCAATGTGATAATGAAGTAGCTACTGAACTTAGTTGTCCAAAAGGCCTAGAATTTAATCCAGTCAGAAAGGTTTGCGATTGGCCAGAAAATGCAAAATGTAGTGGTCTAGGGTGGTGCGATGAGGATCTAAAATGGTAAATATTGCATTGATCAATCTATGGAAAAGTAAGAATTGCTTTTTGTCTTTCTTTTCAGTCCTCCAGCTACTAAACCAACCACACCTACTAGCACCACTAAAAACCCAAATGCTCGTAAGTTCACCAACTCACTTCCGTTCAGTTTTTTCATATATAATACTACAAGAGAAAAAATTTTGTTGGCAAAATTTTCGACTGGTATGAAAGTTTGTTGCTTGGCAATTTCGCGAATGACGTGAATGACATTTTTGACAAAATCACGAGCCGTCAGGCGAGTGGTTTTGTCAAAAATTTTATGAGCGAAATTACCAAAAAGCAACAAACTTGAATAAAACCAAGGGAATAATTTTGCCTACATAATTTTTTCTTGAGTGGTATTCGGCTGGACTATTTCACTTTTTGTCCAGGTAGGAACAGGTAGGAGGTAGGAGTTTTGTCAGTAGGAAACCGGCCGTTCCTATGACATTTTGCCAGTGTAAAACACTCTAGTGGAATAGTCTCCATTTCATTTTTATGATCGTTCCCAAGCGAATACAATATTTTTGCCTCCCTATATGATATCATTTTCTCACTAGATGCTGTTATCGATACCGATAAACAGCAGTTTCCTTCATCAATTAATTAACTTTCTATTCTTTATGTAGCTCCATGTCCATGCGATTGTAAAGAATTAGTCCTAATCCCAAGTAAAAACTGTGGAAAGTACTGGCAATGTGACAACGAGGATGCTACTGAGATAAGTTGTCCAAAAGGTCTGGAATTCAATCCGGATAGAAAAGTTTGTGATTGGCCAGCAAATGCCAGTTGTACAGGTCAAGGTTGGTGCGCTGAAGATTTGATATGGTAAGTAGATTGTGTCTACTAATTTATATTCTATAATCATTTATATTGTTTTAATAGCCCAATACCTACTAAACCAACAAAGCCACCCGCGCCATCTACTACTACTAAAAATCCAAGAGCACGTAAGTTGGTCTAAAAGTTGAATTGGTTCATGCTTACTGAATATTATATTTCAGCTCCCTGTCCATGCGACTGCCCAGAATTAGTTCTCATTCCAGACAAAATCTGTGGCAAATATTGGCAATGTGATAATGAAGTAGCTACTGAACTTAGTTGTCCAAAAGGCCTGGAATTTAATCCAGTTAGAAAGGTTTGTGATTGGCCGGAAAATGCTAAATGTAGTGGCCTAGGGTGGTGCGATGAGGATCTAAAATGGTAAATATTGCATTGACCAATATAAGGAAAGTAATAATTGCTTGTTTGGTCTTACTTTTCAGTCCTCCAGCTACTAAACCAACCACACCTTCTAGTACCACTAAAAACCCAAATGCACGTAAGTTTACCAACGCACTTCCGTTCAGTTTTTTTTCCATTTCATTTTTATGATCGTTCCTAAGCGAATACAATATTTCTACCTCCCTATATGATATCATCTTCTCACTAGATGCTGTTATCGATACCGATAAACAGCAGTTTCCTTCATCAATTAATTTACTTTCTATTCTTTATGTAGCTCCATGTCCATGCGATTGTGAAGAACTAGTCCTAATCCCAAGTAAAAACTGTGGAAAGTACTGGCAATGTGACAACGAGGATGCTACTGAGATAAATTGTCCAAAAGGTCTGGAGTTCAATCCGGATAGAAAAGTTTGTGATTGGCCAGCAAATGCCAGTTGTACAGGTCAAGGTTGGTGCGCTGAAGATTTAATATGGTAAGTAGGTTGTGTCTACTAGCTTATATTTTATAATCATGTATATTGTTTTAATAGCCCAATACCTACTAAACCAACAAAGCCACCCGCGCCATCTACTACTACTGAAAATCCAAGAGCACGTAAGTTGGTCAAAAAGTTGAATTGGTTCATGTTTACTGAATGTTATATTTCAGCTCCCTGTCCATGCGACTGCCCAGAATTAGTTCTCATTCCAGACAAAATCTGTGGCAAATATTGGCAATGTGATAATGAAGTAGCTACTGAACTTAGTTGTCCAAAAGGCCTGGAATTTAATCCAGTTAGAAAGGTTTGTGATTGGCCAGAAAATGCTAAATGTAGTGGCCTAGGGTGGTGCGATGAGGATCTAAAATGGTAAGTATTGCATTGACCAATCTAAGGAAAAGTAATAATTGCTTGTTTTGTCTTACTTCGCAGTCCTCCAGCTACTAAACCAACCACACCCACTAGTACCACTAAAAACCCAAATGCACGTAAGTTTATCAGCGCACTTCAATTCCTTCTAGTTTTTCCATTTCATTTTTATGATCGTTTCCAAGTGAATACAATATTTTCGCCTCCCTATTCGATAACAGGCTTCTGACCAGATTCTGTTATCGATAAACAGTAGGAGTAGGTACCTAGATTCCTTCATCAATTTATTTTCTTTCTAATTTTTATGTAGCTCCATGTCCGTGCGATTGTCCAGAATTAGTATTAATCCCAAGTAAAAACTGTGGAAAGTACTGGCAATGTGAAAACGAAGATGCTACTGAGAAAAGTTGTCCTAAAGGCCTGGAGTTCAATCCGGATAGAAAAGTTTGTGATTGGCCAGCAAATGCCAGTTGTACAGGTCAAGGTTGGTGCGCTGAAGATCTAGTATGGTTAGTAGGTTCTAATTACTAATTCAGATTTCGTAATAATTCATATTGTTTTCATAGCCCATTACCTACAAAACCAACAAAGCCACCCACACCTTCCACTACTACTAAAAATCCAAGAGCACGTAAGTTGGTCTAAAAGTTGAATTAGTTCATGTTTAATGATTGTTATGTTTCAGCTCCCTGTCCTTGCAATTGCTCAGAATTGGTACTCATTCCAGACAAAAACTGTGGCAAATATTGGCAATGTGATAACGAAGTAGCTACTGAACTGAGTTGTCCAAAGGGACTGCAATTCAACCCAGTTCGAAAAGTTTGCGATTGGCCCGAGGATGCTAAATGTTCTGGACTAGGATGGTGTGATGAGGATCTTCTATGGTGAGTAATTGTGAAAATATGTTCAAGTAAATTTAAAAAGCTATCTTTGTCCTTAGCCCACCACCTACCAAGCCAACTTCACCGTCTACTACCACCAAAGACCCAAGAGCTCGTAAGTTAACTCGTAAATTACATAAATCCATTCTAAATAATTTCCATATAATATCTATAAATCCTTTTCATTAACTTCACCGATTAGCCAAATTTCAATATTTTCAAATGAACAAGACAAGTTTTTCCTAAATTCTATCCAATGACTAAATATACAAATTCTGTTAATAATAAGCATCACATTTATCAACTAGCAATTGGAAAAAAAATGTACCCATTGCTCTAATTTCCGTAACCTAAAAATAATACGCTTTAATTTTTACTTAACATTGGATAATCTACATCTATCAGTCACTCTCGTTACACTATTGATGTAAAAGTTCCATATTCTTCCTATAATTTCCACTGTTCACTATGATAAGTTCCGAATGCAAGACTACATTCAATTTGCAATTTTAGTATTGATTTTTTTCTCTTGTATCCATTAGCGCCATGTCCCGATAACTGCGCAGAATTAGTTTTGATACCCAGCAAAGACTGTGGCAAATATTGGCAATGCGATAACGGAGTAGCTTCCGAAGTAAGATGTCCCCGTGGACTTCAATGGAATCCTCGTCTAAATGTGTGCGACTGGCCAGAGAATGCTGGATGTAGCGGTCAAGGCTGGTGTGATGATGACTTGAAATGGTACTTATAATGTTTTTTTTCTCAAACTAAAAAAAAAATTCTAATTTGTTGATATTATTAGTCCCCCAACTACCAAGCCAACCACTCCTTCAACGACAACGAAAAATCCGAATGCACGTAAGTGAACATTTATATAATATAATATATCATAATACCTATGTACCTTTTTTAACAACCATTTTGAGATAGAAATTAGCAGATTAGAATAATTTGTTTATTTCGAATGATTTTAACTGGTTTACGTTGTGCGAATTTATTTAAAAAATTTCGTTTCTTTAGGGTCTAGGTCTGTTAAAAAGGACCAGTATCTAGATATGTTTTGAAAAATAGATCTCTTCTCTATTCTCTCTCACATTTTGATCCCTGGTTTAGGAATAAGTTTCCGATTTATAACTAAGCTACTATTTTCAGCACCTTGTCCTGAAGATTGCTGCGAACCACTCCTAATACCATCTAGAGACTGCTGCAATTACTGGCAGTGCGATAACGGCGAAGCTACCGAAGTAAGATGTCCAGGGGGTCTCCAATTTAATCCTATCTCGAAGGTTTGTGATTGGCCAGGAACAGCTGGTTGCACTGGTAATGGCTGGTGCAATGACGATTTGAGATGGTAAGACTAAAATGAGTTATTAAATTTTTAAGATTTACCACGTATGTATCTAGCTACTTTTATTCTATCTTTAATAATGAACTAACCCAAGATATATTATCAGCGATGGAAACAATTTTTAATTACAATGTTAAATTCGTTTAGTTGATTGTATTTTTTATTCCAGCCCAGAAGACAACTAAATGCCTTCATAGAACTATGTTGAGAAATAATTCCCGCCCAGTATTTAATACCTAAGTATCTTTAATAAGATAAGTATTTTTAATAATACAGTAGTAATATTAAAATGTTAGATAAGATAATAAAATGTTTAAATTGTCAGTTATTGTTGAACTTAAAATGGAAATAAATGTTTTTTGTTTTCAATCAAATATTTAGTATTTTATTGTTCAAGAAAAACTACATACCTATTGTTCGTCGTTTTTAATCTAACACTTTCCGTGTGAGGTGCGAGGGGGTGGAGTATATGGCAAAAACAGGTATGACATCAGGTGACCATTGGCGTTCTAATGTAGGGTGCCACCAGCTCACATTTTTTTCGAGTATCAGATTAAAATCGACAGACTTTACTTTTAAGCTATTTGCGAACACGAAATATCACTAAAGTTCATTTCACGAAACGAGATAGTGGAAGTAAACAAACTTTGACAGGTAAGTCGAATTTTATTGGCTAGAGAAGGATTATACTCCGCCCTAGGCAGGACCGTCTTAGGTTGTTTTGTATTTCTCTTCTCTGAATATATTTCCGAACGAATTCTTCAGCGGAATCTGTTGAAGTTGATATTGTTTTATTCTAAATTGCTCACTTATTAACAATAATTCACCAAAGTATTTAAATAATTGTAAAATACTAGGAAATACGACATTAAACTTATTGACTCATATGACAACATGACAATAATAAATGTCATTAGTTTTAATTCATATTTTTTCAGTCCTTCTCTGAATTTTATAGCTACGCCTGTTTGTTTACCTCCACTATCTCGTTTCGTGGAATGAACTTTAGGTCACCAATTCCCTATCCTTGTTTTCCATCTTCCCCATTGTTTGAACTAGCATTGGTTCAACAAAAGTCTATCATTCTGCTTTTGCTATTGTACAATAATTATAATTTGCATTTTGGATTTGTTTTATTTCGCTTATTTTATGTGATGATTTAAAATCTTTGTTACTTCTGGAAAGTTATTTTCAAAAGTCAATACATAGGTTGGTTGTGAATGTTGTGATACGTTAGGTCGAAGAATCAACGGTCGAAGTGTCATAAATTAGATGTTTCATTGCTCAGCTTATCACTACTACCCACCAAACAAGCAGGATTACCAAGATCACTACTGTCCTGTTCAATTTGTGGTATCGTGCACACGGAAAAAGCAGATGCCGAAAAGTACCTTTAAATAGTTTTGTGTATGAGTTGTCAAAGTAGATGTACTGGGGCTCTGTTTTGGTTTTGAAGAATTATGCTTCTACTGGTGTAAACTTATCCGTCTCATTAAAAGTGAAGATTAGTAACCTGTCACGGATTCAGCGGATCTATTCAAACCACGTTTTTTGACAAAATGGACTAAGCACTTATCGTCGCTGTTCCTCTATACTTCAAATCGTATTTACCTACTCATGTTTATCAACCCAACCATTCACATGCATTACATCTTTGTGCCTGTTAAATGAATGACCTTCCTGTCCTTCCCATGAATGTCAGGGGAGCTTGAGAAATGGCCACCTCTACCATGTTCACTGACATGCTGCCAGCCGCTTTGTGATGCGCCTGAGCGACAAAGCACTCGTATATTCCTCATGGTGGGAATGTGTCGAGCATCGTTTCGAATGATAATAGGTCGGTTTCTGCAGAAATCACAAACCAGTCACAGCGAATTTTATTGGTTGAAAACAGTCAGAAAACTAGTTTCAGCCAATGAAATTGACTCTGGCTGGTTTGTGATTTCTGCAGAATCAGACCTAATATTGACCTTCTGGATCAGCAATCGCATCTCACCAATTTTTTGTTACCCGTTTTCTTCAATCGCTTACCGGATTTTCCTTCTCTCCAGTTTGTTGGCAATCTATTGCCAGTTTCCTTTAGGATTAGAAATGGTTTCATGTCACTTTCTTCTCTAATTGATAGATTCGTCGCCTAGGTAAGGTAGATATCTCTGTTGTTATGGCGCTTTACCAGAATGATGTTTGATTTGTAAATCGTTATAAGTTTTGACACTACCTGCTAATTTAAAATCCACAAAGAGATTTTCTAGAACATTCCAGTGTTTTATTCGAAAATTGGACACGATACAGGAATTTTAACTTATTCGCAGCAGTTACATCAGGCTCAAGTCAAGAAAGATGCAGACAGAATATTCTATGGTAAACACACTAAAGTTTCCCTTGTTTGATTTTGGTTACAATCTTTGTTAGTGCTTCTAGGAGTTCCTTCATCATTGTGTCTTCAATTTCTACTGTTTGTCTCAATGGTTTGGCTGATATCTGGTTTATGGGCCGCTTCGATTCCTAGGGCTTTGATTAGAGCTTCGTTACCTAATACTTGATGGTTTGATTAAGGAGCTCTTGGTAAATCCATATATTTTTTAGCAAGTGCCAATCTAAAAGTTATTTTTGAAAATAGTTCTGTATGTATGGTATGTAATTCTTAGCAAAGGCAAATTAATTGCGAAAGGTGAAAAGGAAAATAACCTGTACGTAGTAGAATTTGATGTTGTTTTCAATAACACAGTAAATATTTGCGCGAAGTAAACAAAAACTATCGGGTCTTCAAAAAAAAAAACCAATCAAAGATTGCTTTGAATACGAAAACGTATGTCGCATTATTGTTTTTTTATTGGTCAGGATTTTTGACATGACATTTTGGCATTGAAGTTCATTGACAAAATTGAAGAAAAATACTGCTAAGACATACGTTTAAAAAACCATAGCAATCTTTGATTGCACTCAGAGAAACTTTCGCTGTCACAACCAGAAAGATGTATATTGCAACAATATAATACAGTTGATATAGGCACAACCACACATATAGTTGAATGTATCATAAATATATTGTTAATTGTTATTGTTCCTTCATATATATTATTGTTTTCAGCAACTAGATTATATTGCTCGTCCTACCAAAGCTGCATGCTTCTCATAAATATAAATATTTTAAAGACAACAGGAATATTGTTGGTATTGCAATCTAGTATTGATGCAATTACCGTTTTACTAATTTCCATTAACCATATTATATATTATCTGCAATCACATCATTTGTTGGAACAATAATAACTTATGCTTGTTTTTTAATGCCAATTATTGCTCTCCTAGCAATGTGTTTTGTTAGAATTACCAAAGCTTTTTGAATAGGTACCTACCTACAGGAGATCAATAAAAACAATTTCAAAATATTTAAAAAAATTATTTTGCAAATAAATACAAAACCGACATAGTAAGAATACGTTTGTATCTCTTCAAAAGAGAGGGCCCTATAGAGAAAAGGTGATTTTCCTTCTTCGTCGGTGACGACATCAATGGCTTCTTCTTGGCCGGTTCTTACTATACAACACTGTTCCTAAAAATATGCATATTAAGTAAACTTAAAAAAATAGATCAACAAAAACATTTACTTACTTGGTTTAGAATCACTTTACAGCGAGCTTTAATAGTTCACGAGGTTCACGTGTACCTTTACACACAAATAAAATATATAGAAGGACTTTAGAAGGGGAATCAAATTGTTAAAAAGTAAGAGAACGCACTCGTGAGAGAGAAACTATTCCTGGTCCCTGGCCATTTTGGAACTGAATTGGTGTGGTAAGTTAAAATAGCTTGCTTGCAGCCGTTACGCGTCGGCGCCTGAGGCTAAGGCCCGGGTACGTATGGTACTCCTAATCAAACGTGTTGTTAGAGCAACATAAACTTTTGCCGATTCCACAAAATACACGGTCATATAAGCTAATGATATCACTAAATTAATTGACCGGTATCGGAATCACACAGATACATTTATCCAACTTATACGGTATTGTTCCGGTAACTAGATTCTATATAATTGAACCAAATATAGCCTATCATTGCCATCACAACATTATGTTTTTAGCAATTCTTTATGTTTGTATTGACAATATATTTATTTAACAATCTATACTTAGTTACCTCAGCAATGACATATTTGTGATTCAAACATAATAATGTCAACAATAACTCAATTGTTATTCTAACTATTTAATATATATTTTTTTAGTCTTCATTACCATATATTTTGGTATTGCGACAATAATATGTGTAAGTGAATATGATTGTTGACCTAACATTGGTAATTTTTTTGAGTGTGTTTTTTTTTAAGACCCGATATAAGCTTTGGCACGCTAGACTATGTAGGTCATAGGGGAAATCAAAATTTTGAAAAGTTGGTTCAAAAGAACATGGTTGTGGGTGGGAATCATTACAAACTTAGATAACTGTGAAGTTGGAAATTGTTCTGTTTGCAGTCAGTCAAAAATAACTCGTTTTGGAATGTAATTTTTGATGAGTATAAAAATATAGGTAACTTCCCAAGCAGCATCAAAGTAGCGGAAGCCGAGATCGGAACTTTGAATAAGTCATTGTCACGTAATAATTGCCTTTCTAAGTTTTTCCTACTTTCATTTAGACTTTTTGTAGTTATTATTATTACAATTTGGAATTTATTAGTTTCAGAACTTCTAGGTCGCTCTGATAGTCCTCCGAACGGGATTATTGTTACTATGTAAAATTATTTCAAAGTCATTAAAGTAATTGTTACTTGTATCTATATCAGTTTGAAGTTTTAATTACTTTATGGTAACGGTGAAAGAAACTACGACTTCCTTGCTAATATTGAAATTCCTTCAAAGTATAGTTAGTTATATCCAAGGTAAAATTAACTGTCTCGCTAATCGCGTTGCTACGTCCACACTCCGTAGTTACAACGTAAGTGTACGTAGCGGTAAATATAAGGGTTCTAATTTTTACATAACGATCACCTTCAAAATGTGATAGGATTGTAGCAGTAACGTTGCCGTTACTTGTAACCACAACTTAATAAACTAGTGGACAGTTGCTTTGCAACATGAAAATTTTTACCCAAATTCAAATCTCGATATTTTCAGAATGGAAAGAGATATAGATATCTTCAACAGCTCTTTGAGAACACGCTCAAAGTTCGACCGATATAGTTTTCATTTATCCACTTACACAAGGTGAGCAAAGGAAGTCATGTTTTTTTAGCAAAGTTCGGGGCTATGTCAGATTCTCAATTTTTGATTTTCAAAATTTTTCTATGCATCTTTCTGATCTTTGGACTATGCTGAAAAAAGTAATTTCTCAAATTTTTCGATAGTTGGCTATATCTCAAAATAATCGAATTTTTAAAAAAGGGTTACATTTACCCCTAAAAAAGGAACCTTTTCGGGGCTTCTCTTGAGAATGGGTATTTTTTCTCGTATCTTGCATAAAAGGAATTTCTTGCGCCCGAGAAAAAATTGAAGCACTCATTGAACGTTATTGCCTCCAGTGGTGTGCAGAAAAAATTGCTTCTTTGACATTAACCCGGTATTACACGCGCCAAAAAACTTACGTCGTTACAAGCGTTCAGTCAAATTGACCGACTGCCCAAAAGTTTATATGAATTATTAGCTTTTTTCGCGGAAACGATCCCAAACGTATCCTGAACGCTAAGGCATGACCTACG